CCTCCTTTGTGAGGGTTTAGAAAATTGTCTAAGGCTTGTGTATACATTTCCCTCTATATCTCTTTGTTTTGGGTTCAAAAGGGTCTTGTTATTGATCTATTACACCACACCTCATAGCCACACACCTCCACCATTGTTCTAAGGTTCTTGGAGGGTCTTGAGAGGTCTCAAAGAGTTGGTTTTGGGCTGGAGAAGTTGCTGTCTTGCTGAGCTCCAAGGGTAACACACCATTTTCCTCTTTTTAGCACTATTTTGATCCATCTCTTAGCCTTATTTGCATGCATATTTGAGCTTTGTTGACAACTAAAAAAAGTCTTGTTTTGAGGTCCTTTTGATGTTTGTTTAAGGTCATTTTGTTGTTGGGGGTCATCTACCCCCTTGCATGCTTCATTTTGCTTTGTTTTGAGCCATGCCCTAAGGCCTTTGTGTTGACCTTTGCTTGGCCTTTTAACCACTGAAATCCAGCGGATTTTTAGTTGTTAACATATGCTTTTGAGAGCCAAAATCAGAGAGGGGTGACCGTCTCCCTCCTTGTCTTGTTCACTAGCATTTTTGGCCTTACAAAGGAGCCTTCATTTGCACAGTTCAAACCCTTGTTTCAGGCCCTTTTCAGTGACTTTTAGGGCCTGCCTAGGCTCTGTCTAGAGTTGGTTTTGTCGCCTTGGGTGTGTCTCTTGCATGTGTAGAATAACCCCCCTTATAGCTTATCAAAGGAGCATGACATTCTTGCATGCATTGATCATGTTTCAGTGGGTTTTTGAGCTTTATTTGGCATGTCATGTCTCTGAATTTTTCTGGTTTAGTGGCCTCTTGAATGCTTCATATGCTTGTAGTGTAATCCATGCTCACTAGCTCACATTGCATGTTGTTTTGGCCCTTGATTCTAGCACATTTTGGCCATGTTCTAAACTGATTTTATTCATGATTTGGACTGCCTTAGCTCTGTTTTAAGGTCCCATGGTCGAATGATGCTTTTCATGCATGCTTGTAGTGTAATACCCTTGCATAGCTTCGAGTTTTGAAGCCTCTTGCATGCTTAACTTGAGTTGTTTTCATGTTTTGGCATCATTGAGCATGTTATTTCAGAGCTTATACTTGTTCCATATTCCCATATTTTCCACTCTTTAAATGCGTTTGAGAGTTGTGCTTGCACTACAAGAAAATACATTTTCGGCGACCAGTTTTGGCTACCAAAACAAATTTAGTCGCCGAAAGTGTGGGAATTGGCTACCAAAATTAATTTTAGTCGGGAAAAGTCAACTTTTTAGCTACTAATTTTTCTTAGTAGGGGAATGCTGATTATTGGCGACTAAAATAAATTTGGTAGCTAAAAATACTACAATTGGCCACTAAAAAATTTTTTAGTAGCTAAACATATCTCCATTAGCGACTAATTATACTTTTAGTAGCTGTAAACGCACCTTTACCCACTAAATTGTTTGGTAGCCGAAGGGAAAGAAAAAATTTTATTTTTGATCTTCGGCGACCAAACTTTTGGTCGCCAAAACTATCTTTTCAGCGACAAAATCCATTTTAGTCGCTGTAGACGCACCTTTGCCTACTAAATTTTTTGGTAGCCGAAGGGAAATAAAAGATTTTATTTTTGATCTTTGGCGACCAAACTTTTGGTTACCAAAACTATCTTTTCAGCGACAAAATCCATTTTAGTCGCTGTAGACGCACCTTTGCCTACTAAATTTTTTGGTAGCCGAAGGGAAATAAAAAATTTTATTTTGATCTTTGGCGACCAAACTTTTGGTCGCCAAAAATTATTAAACAAAATAGTTATTTTATTTTTGTTTTTATGCAAAGGTTGTCAAATCTTAACAACAATGACATTTTATCCATGGAATTTGACTTTTTTTTTTTAAATGAGAACAATAAAATTTAAAGAAACTTCTTTTTTAAAAATAAAAATGAAAATGAAACATGCTTATTAAGTAAATAAAAATGAATTCCCATTAATAGTAGGTATATGAATAAAACAATCAGATTTATTGAATTAAGTGGTAAAAGCCATGGCCAGTTGGCTTTATTAGGCTATACTAGAATCCAAATGGTTTATCATCTTCTAAAATTAATTTAAGGTTTACTTTAATATAATAAACTAGTTACAACTGCATAATAAATTAATTAAATCTACTTGACACATGATTTCTTCATCTGTCTTTATATATGACAAAATATACATATTAAATGTTCTAAATTTCTAAATCAAATTGATTTGTGCCTAGTTAATCATGCAGGAGTCCCCCAAAAAAATTAAGTATATTTTACAATATCTATATAATAAGACAAAACGGTTTTTGAAAAAAAATTTAGAGACAAATGTCCTACTAAGACATTTCAATGACTATGATTCATTTGTCTATTTAAATAGATGGTTGAGATGACCCCCTTAAATATATATCAATCCCCTTCCAGCACCACTGTTCCGTTTGGGAAGTTCAACCTAATGAAGTAATGATGGTTGGGGATAACCTTAAAGATGATGTGAGTTCTGCTCTATTTCTCTCCCCATCATTTGCACCATATTTGTTAAGAACATTTTTGATTCATTTTGAGGTGCTGTTTTTGTATATATGTATTTTTTAATTTCACATTGTTTTATCAAATTTGTTTGAATCAAAACATGCTTTTGTGTAAATTAAAGCTCCTTTACTTGGTCTTCGCAGGTTGCTTGTGGGAAACGAGCGGGAGCATTTACATGCTTGCTTGACGAAACAGGGAGGTATGATTTTCTCCCGAATACACAGATGTGAATTTCA